GTAGTAGTGGAAGTAGCAGTCGTTGTCGTAGTAGCAGTAGTAGTAGCAGTAGCAGTAGCAGTAGCAGTAGTAGTATTAGTAGTAGTAGTAGTAGTAGTAGTAGTAGTAGTGGTAGTGGTAGTGGTTGTGGTTGTGGTTGTGGTTGTGGTTGTGGTAGAGGTAGTAGTGGTGCAGGTTGTGGTAGTAGTGGTAGTGGTAGAGGTAGAGGTAGTGGTAGTGTTAGTGGTGTTTTTTCATTTTAGCATGGTCCGTCCAATCGGGTGGTTTTTATTCAGAGGGACGGGAGGGAGGTTTGTGGCATGTGGCCGTCTAATCGACACGAGTTCATTAATCTGGAACCAAGATGTGTCGGGGTTTGTGCACTGCACTCTGCGTAAGCATGTGCAAAATCGGCTGAGACGGGGCATGCTCACCTTGCTTCTGCCGCACCTAAGACTTTTCCATAGATGCTCAACCTATGCAGCTCATATGCAGCGTGCAGAGCGTTCGCACATAGCTTCTGCATGCCATGGCGTTATGCATAACTTCTGTAGACAGAGCTGGAGCCCTGGAGCGTGTTCGGAAGATTTCGGAAGTGCCGGCAAGCAGGCGAACATCATGGTTTTCTGAGGTGAAGTGTATTGCTCGGTCAGCCCAACCATCAGACATGACACAATCGCCGCTGGAAGCGTGTTGCCTTAGAAATGTGAATCCATGGCATGTTGACAATCATGCCCCGTTCGTCGCACCATTGCCATAATCAGTTACTCGAAGGAGCGGAGTTGTACAACATACATACCCAATTATTCCAGAAGAGGCGTTAGTAGCATTTAGTATTGTGTCAACTCACAGTCTGGATACCGTGTAGACATGATCCACACTGGAACTATTGCAGACATGCTGATCGAAGCACGCCAAGCCAACTAGCCCTCCCCAGACCCCAGAAGAGCAAGCCGACAGGTGCCCAATCATTTTTTTTCAGGGCGCTGTGCTTCAATTTCGTTCCGTTGGTAAAGACAGGGCTTTTGCCAGTTTCCTGAAGCACGAAGTTCGAGATGCCAGAGGCGCACTGGGTCGGACCACACGATCCCTAAAGGCACAACATTGGTTGAAGAGGCTCCATCAGAGACATCACAGGTGAGTATGAACAGAACACGGACCGCGAGGAACACTGGGAAACCACAGTGACGACGCCAGAATCCAGACAGTTCCGTCACAGTGTGACTATCTTCGAATCTCTGTATCGCAATGTCGCAGCCGTGAGGAAGGTGTTTGTGGGCGATGTTGCTGTTTTTTGTACAGATTGGGCGTTTGTTTCGACTTGCACATAAGCCTGAACATGCACCATTCCACTATCAATTACGGGAAGACTTCAGTGTCAGGCAAAGCTGGAGAAGCAGCTGCGCGCTTCGCTGGATCTCAGAGGGCCGGGTCTGAAGATACAATGGATACGACCTCATAGAGAGACTTTTCTTCAAGACTCCTTCGAGCGGTGAGAGCCGGAAGTCTTGGAGGAAAAGGAGAAGATCCAGCCGCGTGGTCAACTGACAGAGACGCGACGGGCTGACTCCTCGGTGATTGGATCCCTGCACATAGCATTCAGAAGGCAACTGCGTCTGCACACTGTGTCACACGCACGCACATACCAGTATATTATTCTGTGTCTCCATATGTGTATGCATGTGTACATGTTCATGTGTCTTCATATGTATATGAAAGTACAAAGTTACAGGCACATGTATGTACTTACACCAAGATACCAACGTTCTTTTGCATGCATAGAACCTAATATAGGGGCCTGAATAATTACCTGTAGTAAAAGGGGCCCCAAAACCCTATTCTAATTACTAAGGCCCCTATATCATGTTTGTGTAGCTGCTCTGCTGTTCAACGACCAGCACTGCGAGATCTCGCTGGCGTGCCTGAGGGGGCCAGCCATGGCCAGGAAGTGACTCATCGGACTTTTTCGCCAACAACCGGGGGTTTCCTAAAATAGGGGGACCCTAATATGGTACCCTTAATAGTAGGATCCTTATTATAAGGATCTCATAATAAGGAACCCCTTATTTTCGGAAACTCCCAGCTGTGTCTCGACTGATACAACAGGGAAAACTCCTCTCACAGAGGAACCCTTCCTAAGGACTCCTGCACGGAGGCTGCAGCTGAGACCACCCATACTGTGCACAAGTATATTCTGGATGGATCCAGTCCCGGGTAGTCGACTTGCGCATGTCACCACACACCACACACATCCATGAACTATTTTGCCTCCAGCGGCTCTTGCTGCGGGCTTGTGGTTGCAGTCTGAGGCCACGAACGACCGTCCATCCGGCAGCTGAGCTGCAAACGGATTTTGATACCAGATGACCTAGGGTCTGGACAGTCTCAGGCGTGTGTTAAGAGAGACTGGTTGGTGAGACGAGGCTGTAGCGAAGAGTCGCCGCTGCCGGGGCCCACAAGATCCGCAAGCATCACAGCAGCCATCAGCCATGTCTGTGCATCCAATGCTGCGATTCGAGGAAGCTTGTTGCGCGAGGCCCTGCCCCTGCTCTACTGCAGTTGGCTTTACCTCGGAGAACCAAGAGGGAGACTTCAGCTAAAACCTGGGAGGTCCAGCAACATCCCCACAGAGAAGGCTCGCGACTGCACATTGCTGGTCCCATGACACTCTTCAAGCCTTCGCCGCCGGTGTCAGGGCTGGTGACATTGCGGGACGGCAAGCTGAGGCCGACTGCGTCGCCATCCGGTCATGCGTCGCTATAAGACGTCCTCATAGGCATCTTCGAGGGATGCTGCGCCGATCTACAGGTGGACAGGCTTGGGGTGCCACGAGCAAGCACAAGAGATGCTTCTTTTTTCTGCCACTCCTCGGAGCATGAAAGGCCCTGAAGAGCTTTGCCGGTTGGGGTCTCGAACTCGTCAGCTCCGCTGCTTGTAGCTGGACGCTGCCTGCATGTCGGGAGGCAAGAGATCCAGGCGGGCTGCCTGCCTGGTTGTACGCCTTCAAGGATGACAACTCGGCTTGGCCTTGCTGCCCGTGGCATGACGAAGGCCGCCGTGCGGCAGGCTACGTCGTCATGGCGTCAGGCACCCGCAGGCACGCATACGGCGGTCTCGTGCCCGATCAATTATGCCTTGCCTGGATCTGTCAAAGGACCTCCGGAAGTTGCAGAAGCTGCGCGGGTCTTTGCGCCATCGGCAGAAGCTGTACAAACAGCAGGTCACTGCATTCTGTTCCCTGCTCAGCTACCAATAGGCTGAAGGAAATAGTGTTGTGGCTTGCGAAGCATATCGAAGCGCGCAACATAGGCGGCCCGCCATTCCTCTTTGCACATATGCATTCATGCATATTTGATTTCACTGTCCCTTTACCGTCCATGGCAATAGTGACTATCGCAATGGCACGAGGGGAACTAGTCAAGTGCCTCCTTCGTTCAAGCTTAATCCAACGCTGAACGCTCATGCACCACTGTTGGGCTCAACAGTACCGCCACTCGCCGAATCTCGGAAATTCCCAGCGATGCAGCGTATTGGGAGCACCCACGTAACACAACAACTGGCACTGTCTCACTTGCTACTGTAGCAATTTCGGTGAGTTTGTCAACCAACGCTTGCAACTCACTCGACATGCCGCTTCCCGCAGGTGCTTGACCCTTCTTCTCAACAGCTCCTGTCGCAAGAACTGCTGCCGACAAAGCCTCGAGCAAGCTGTGATGAGCAAATCTTACCGATGCTTACCGCCAAGAACAACTTGAACTCACCTTTGTTGAATGCTTTCTTAAACTTGGTGATGCACGCGACGTCCGCCATCATGTCTGGCGATGTCATGGCCATCCAACGTCTCCTGCGGAGCAGCAACCTGTGTGAGGGCTGCTCATGCGTATCCATGAACCTCCCCTTCTGGCGATGAACCTCCAGACGATCACGCCATTTTCTCATCTCGGCCTTCTCCAAATAGTTTCCAACCTCTGCCTTTACTGTGCTGAAGATGGGATTGGGCTCACGCACGAAAGGTTCTGAAAACAGCACTGTGAAGCTCTCTGATCTCAAGCTCCTGCCAGAGTGTCCGGCTTTGCGCACAGTTTCAGCACCTGCCTCGCAGAAAGTGCCCTCATCTTTGCTGGAGGCTGGTTCCGTTGTCATTGGCCTGACGTCGTCGTGCAGTCCATGTGCCCATGCCGCCCATACCGTCGCGTCTGGATCCGAAAACACCTTCTGTGAAGCCGTCAGAAATGCGCCGGAATGTGTGCAAAGAGCTGCGACAAACCAGCATACTCGTGTTTACAAATTCGGCAATATACATCATCAGGCTCCAGCGACGCTCCCACAACGAGTGCCTGCCAGGCATGTTCCAGTGAGCAACCTGCGTTTAATGTGTTTCCTCGTGGACACCATCGAGGCATGAACCAGAAAACACCAAGGACATTGGTTGACATGCGCAGCTTTGTAAGAATCGTCCAACACGCCGTGATTGCTGAGTTTGCTTCTTGGTGTAGCCGTAGATCACGTAAACATTCAAAAAAGCTGCTGACGACAGACTTGTAGAATATTGTATGTGTGCGCTAATGCTTGTGGCTCATCCACGTCTTCACTTTCACGTGTAGGGTCATGCACACAGCCGAGGGGTGGATTGCAAACCGATGGTTCTTGTGCGCGCAGCTCCGAAACATCAACATGCACAAACTCTTCTGCCAGCTCAGACCAAAAGGCAGCACCTCCCCATTAGCCATGTCAACAAGCCAATACATCACCAGGATTAAAGTTTCGTCGCACTTGGCTAGACCATCTTGCGGAGGACGCGGAGTACTTGGAAGTGCATTTTACGTGGCCTGGCTAGCGGAGGAATTAATCCACGGGAATAAAATTATACTACTATATTGTTCCGGACGGA